AAAAATAGTATCTGTTTGCTTATTAGTTATATTATTAGTTTGCTTATTAAAAATAAATCTGTTTGCTTATTAGTATTTTTGTATCATTTCCACAATTTATCTTAAAATATGTATTTTTATTGCTAAATGTTTGTATTTTTAATGAGCATTTAGATAGAGACTCCGTGCAACTAACTTTTAGTAAAAAATTTCACTTTGCTTTAGACCAGTGGTTTCTTAACTTTTTCAAATAGTGGTCCTTTCTTGAATCTTTTCTTATTCTAAGTGCGCAATGCCTAAATTTTTTAATGAGACTAAGTCACATTTATAGCTATTTAAAATTTTTTTTAATCAGCTTTTAAAAAAAGCAGTGATGCCTGAGGGTAATATGGTACACAGTTATAAGAAACATTATCTGAACTGAGAAACAAGTGTAATTTTAATATAGTGACACCGATCTATCAATGAACATGTTTGTTAAGAAATCCATTTTAATAGTTACTCTATCTATTTAATGTAGGTGGTTTAATGATGTTGAAGAAGAAGTAAAAAGAGATTCCATTTCGCTGCAAGGGTAATTATGTATTTATTTTATTTTTAAATATGCAGTATAATATAATTAATTGATTTGAACTGAAAGCTAGTTTAAAATGTGTACACTAGTTTGTGATGTTAAAAATTAAGCAAATAAAATTGAGCGTAATGTGAAAAGAAAACTAATACAATTACGGAACGGAGGTTCAAGTATATTGAACTGTGTAAGGCTGAGTCATTTATTTTCAGTACATAAAGTGCACTATGTCTTAATTTTTTTGTGTTAAATTAAGTACTTCTCAAAATACAAATATTGGTTACATTCTATTTTAAGAATATTGATCATGAAGTTATTTAAATTGTAAAGATTAATCTACTATATTTCTAACACTTTCCATTCATTATACATTATTGAATTTTGCATAGGCACAATAGCGATATTTTTAAGTGTTGTTTAGAGTTTAAGGAAACGTATGGTGTTAAACTTCCCACTTTAATATCGGTAGTATTCTATCTATCTATCTATCTATGAAGAATTGTGTGTCTATGTGTGTGTTTCTCTTATAACTCCAGAACCATATAGTAAAGATAGTAATTATTTTAAAACGGGTTTCTATAAAACTGATTAATTTAAAATCAATGTTAATTGAAATGATAAAATAATTAGTTATGTATTGAAAGGCAAAATTAATGAAAAAGTGGCACTTTTTCATTAATTTAGGAAACTGGTACATATCAAAGTCGAAATAAAATCTATGCATTAAGAAGCAAAAATTAATGTAATAAAGTTAATTTTTCATTTAGAGGAACTGTAAAATATTTCCATAATATTATTGATGTCAATGATGCTTAAGTATTTTTGATAATGTGTGGGAATAAAAAAAATCTATGTAATAAATAAAAGCAGTTAATGGTAGAAAGAAACCGCATAAAATCGCTGTACAAAGGTAACTCTTAATTAATTTTGGTAATATACACCACTGGTATGATGGTAGTTGGTTCAGTTTTAATAAGAATTCTACAACAGAATTTTTGTTGTTTCAGAATTTTTTTTCCCACCATAATTAATATATATTTTAAATCACGGCTCGAAAAAACTCAGAAATATTACCCGTCCCTGAGGACGGCTTGTCCAACAATGTACCTGTCCTCCTTTGAAACTAACCCGTAGCTTCTAAATAAATAAAAATATAATTTTCTCTTATTTATTACAAATATTTATGTAACCTGCACAATGAATTAGTAGTTACTAGGATTACAAATACTGGGATTACATTATACAGTAATAAAAGAAATACTAGGTGACTAATAGTTACCTAGTATTTCCTTTATGAAGTGATTTCTTTCTTTTATGGAATAATTTAATTGACAAAGGCCAAGTTGTCTGGAATGTCAATTTATCCGAGGATACTGCGTTTTTTAAATGTATCAAATATGACGTTTGCCAGTTCCACAAGAAAGCCAATGATTTACAGAGATTTCTGCACAGAAATCTGAAAGTTTTTTTTTATTTAGATAGATGTTCATAATTGCGTTTAATGCTTATTGTTTAAGACCAGTAAATAATGTGTTTTTTTGTAAGTTCATTGCTGAAAAGCCCCTTTCAACTGTTGCTGTAGTCCCAGACGGAGAAAACATCAATTCCACCATGCGCAGTATGTTGCTGTATTGTGGGTCATTTTGCTAGATTAGAGGGTCATTTTAGAAGTGAGGCGCTAGACTCTTGTAAGATAACAAAAGTTGAAAATGTATCATGAACATAAACTGGAAAATGGCCGTCCGCGCGGACGTCAGATTGCAGAAATTCGTTGTCCGCTGGGACTTTTTGACCGCCGAGGACGGGCGGTTTTTCGAGCCCTGTTTTAAATAGTATATTAATGGTAAGATATAGAAATGGTCATGTTCTAAAATCCTTATTAAAGTCTTATAAGAATTCTGTTTATTTTTGAAATTTTGACTTTAGTTTACTGCCACTGGTAATTGTATTTCACACATATCTGAAATGTTGGTGAGTATGTAATATGTGCCAAATAAACAAATATATGCAGAAAGTGTGATATTTGTATATTTAGTTATTGTTAAAACTGCACTAATATTGAGCAATTTTAATATAAATACTGTGGAAATAGATGTCTCATGGCCCCTCAAAAGGGATAAATATTGGATAAAATTCCACAACAGTGGTAGATTTTGAACTATCATGAGTTGGCTGTGAACAAGAGCATTATGTTAAATACTACTGAATACAGATAATCTTTATCCTGATAGGATAATCTACAAAAATTGTGTTTTGCTTAAATTAGTAATATAAAGCCACTGGGAAGAGTGACAAATGATATTAAGTGAATAAATAATTGGAATTGTTTTAGCTTTATCACATGTGTAGGAATTTACCTTCATAGTTAGAATTTTGTGAATATATATTTATTCTTAAAATGTCGATATTTTCAATATGTTTTTTCCAATTTTATATGTTTGGAAAAATTTTGAAATTAATATTTTTATTTTTTACTCTTTAATTTTTTCCTTTAAATGATTCATGTAATAGAGAAAAAATATTATTTTAAGATATTTTCATCAAACTAAGTGTCTTTCTGGAAGTTTTTGTTGATGTAATATTACATCAGGAATATTTTAATTTGTTATATTTTTTCTCTTTTTATAGAACAGAAATTGTATCTTCAAACAGTATAAAAATCATCGAATTCAGAGATCAAGAAGGTACATCATTCCACCATTTGGAATTTTTAGAAGAAACGGATATATTCAAACTCAATTTAGCTTCCATTAATCTTTCTGAATATGTATTGGAAAACATTAAGGAAATATTAATTGTTGTAGAGGATATATTTGGAAATTTAATGAAGTCAAAGTTGGATATTAAAATGCTTAATTTTAATATTA